GCACGGACCATGTTGTTAAGATTTGCGCGGGGCTTCCGCCTGTACCCCTAACAGGCGCCCACAAACGAAAAAACTCTTCAATCTGCCGCCTTTAACACCGCCACTACAACGCCTCCCCGACCCCTACGCAACACAAACAATCGGCAAATGCCCCCCCGACGAGTTTTCCATCGAGCGCGGTGAAGATAGAGTCCGCTCGACGGCCCGGCGCGCCGCCCGCGCAGAGGCGCACACGACAAGGCCCGACCTCGCCCGATAAGCCAGCGTGGCACCAAAAAAACACCAGCCCCGGCTACTGGCCCCGGCTGGTTCCTCCCCTGGGAGGATAAAACAAGTGGTGGCGGCGCGGATAAAACGCCGTTACGTCAAAAATCACGGCTTGTCGTTTGGCAAAAAGAAAACCCGGAGGATAACCAGTCGGAGCTGGAGGCAATGCCACTAGGCCGGCTGGAATAAGGAAAAGGGACGCAAAGGCCCTAGAAAGAAAGAAACGGTATTTGGGGGTAGGTTTTACAGTTGCCCCGTGGTTATAACTTTCCTGTACCTAGATATCCGTAGAGCCATGAGGATGGCCACATAAAAATGCCCAGCCGCCGCCGCGGGCACGTCAGAGGACCGCAAGCTGTGGTCGCTCGACGGGACTGACCCGGTCAGCACCCGAGGCACTGACGTTAATCGATCTACTACTACTACTACTACTACTACGAGAGTAGCCGATGCGACTGCCCGAAGGGACTGACCCGCGCGCGAACACGGGTCAGCGCCTAACGGCACTGACGTTAATATATTTATTATTATTATTACTACTACTACTACTACTTTTTCGTCCGTGCACCCAATAGTGGGGCTTTCCGCAAATTTAAACTAACCACAACACCCCCTGCGTTCACTCGATTTGTCCTAATTCAACCTACACACCACTTCAGCCGTTCTAACTATTCGCCAGCAGCCCGAGAACCCGGTCGATATGTGTCGTATCTGGCTCACGACCAAAGGTTTTTAGAATTATGGTTCGAAATTCGCTGCCCATGGCCGCAAAGATTTTGGCTTCGGGTCGCTGTCGAGCTTGTCGCGCAGTTCTGCTATTTCGTTATCCGCCAATCTTTTAAAATGTCCCAGGGCAGCACTGGAACTCGCTAAAGTAGCACAAAACATAAATGGCAGATAGTCCTCGCCTATTTTTAAAACTTGCGTAGTCGTTTCAACTTGCTCCTAAATACGTCGTCCGAAAGCTTTGTGCGAAGGCCGGCTCTAACTTGGTCGGAAAGTGTTCGTGGTAATTGTCTCACCCTCCTGGATCCGTTATACATGCCCCCAGGCACGATATCGCACAACTTCTTAAGGCCATGGGTCGCCAGTAAAGCACCTACCATTCTGCTAATTTCTGCTTTTTCCTCCCAATCCCACCCAAGTTCCAGGTACTTGGCAGCCGGGAATGTATATGTAACGATTGGAATAAACCTTTCTCACTACGCCACACACCCACAAAAGGGTACGATGCCAAGTTACACGTGTGGCTTAACATTAAGGTTTATATAGGCGCGTGCTGTCACAGGCACACCTGTGACTTACGCACGTGTCTAGTCAGGTGACTAAACACGTGCTCCGCCCCATAACATAGCTCCCGCATCCAGGCCACGATGGATGTTGCACTCCTTGTGCAACCACGAATATCAGACCATGCTACCTAGTTCTCGCGTCGTCCCGTGATAGAGCTCCTACCCACGGCGGAATTCGCCTATAATAACACAACCTCGGCAAGTACCGCCGTCACTCCCTTCTTTGCTAATTACGGCTATCACCCAGCCTCTAACAACCCGCCTCTGCCCGGCCGCGTCCGTAACCCGTCGAGCCGGCTATACGCCACTGGATGACCGAGGTCCACGAGAGGACCAAGGCCCAGTTGGAACGAGCCAGGGAACGCATGAAGCACTGGGCCGACAAACGGCGAGGGCCGCTGCCAGTGCTCACCGAAGGACAGCTCGTTATGCTCAACGCCCGGCACGTCAAGACCAAGCGACCTGCCAAGAAGCTGGACGCCAAAATACTTGGCCCTTTCCGCGTCGCTAAGGTCATCTCCCCCACTGCCGTACGGTTAACTTTGCCCAAGGCCTGGCGAATCCACGATGCCTTCCACGTCTCCCTCATAGAATCTTACCGCGCTGGCATTCAGGCTTGACCTGACCCTGACCAGGTCCTACGGGAGGCCCCTCCAGTAGAGACGGAGTATGGTGTGCAGGAGATCGAGGACTCCATGGTCAACCCACGGGGAAGAGTCCTTTACCGCGTCAGGTGGGAAGGCTACCCTAAGGAGGAAGATAAGACCTGGGAACCCTGGGACAACTTCGTGGGCGACGGAGCCAAGGCGGAAGTAATCTCGCTCCATCAACGGCACCCAGATAAGCCAAGGGACGAGAGAGTCCCCCGGGCGGCGGAATCAGGAAAGCATCGGGTCCCGGAGGCCGAGAACCCCCGGCCCCGCAAGCAACGCCGGATAAGGTAGACTCGGGACTCGGGACGAGCCCTTAGAAGAAGGGGGATTGTGTCACACGGAGGCGCCCAACGGGCCCGGCCTCAGGCATCAAAGCGGCCGGGCCGGCCGGCCCAGTCACTAAAAGAAGAGCGGCCAATCGTCTTTTCGGAGATCGCGGGGTAGCAACGAGGGGCCCTGCATGGGCTTCTCGTACGGGCTATATAAACCCTGCTACCCTCCTTGATTCCCTCGAGAGATTCTGCTTCCTTAAGCATCTCTTGAGGCCATGAAAGATTATTAGCTTCAATAGAGAGCATCCCCTTCTCCAAGCTTGCATTGCACCCTTGTGACAACAATTGTCACACGGGGATCACCCTCGGGACCGAGAGAAGGCCGATTGGGCCAACAGGAGGCCAATGGAGAGGCCATGATAAGAGAGCGCCCTACGATTGGGACGCTTGGTGTCATAGCCAGCAGGGGGTCACGTGACCCCGCGACTCCTACGTATAGATACCCAGATACCCTGCGTGCAGATCCGGCCCTACGGGCCTTTCCTTCACCGGAAGGAATCCTCTTGACCACTTTGAACCGCACCCCTATGTGACCGTAACACTTGGGACAGACACAAGAACCTTGCTGTAGAATGGCTTGATCTCCGCCGGCTGTAGGCTCGGCAGGACAACCCCTCAGATAGATACGTACCCTGCACGGGGCACCTTGGGGCCTATATAGAGGGCGCCTCTCGAAGGGATCCCTCGAGGAGATTCTGACTCCTTAAGCAACTCCTTGAGGCCCTGAGAGATTATTATAATTCAGAAGCATTCTCTCAAGCCGACAGTTGTCCCCTTGTTACAACAATTAAGATCTCGTTCAAGCCGTTACTGACCCTTGTTACATTAATTTCCTTTGCACAGCCACTGCTCGACTCCGCTTTGTTCGAGTGGGGCGCTTCAAGCACAGACCACCATACATTCACGCGACTCCCCACCGAGATGGATCTGGGAGCAAATCCCTACGAGGCAAAGCCGCTCAATCGACACCGCTCGTCGCTCGAAGGCACGATGATCCTGCCTGCCGGGACTCCCGCCCTGTTGCCAGACGATACGAGGGCGCAAGCCAAAGCACGTTTGTATCACATTCTCGAGAACCTCGAGGCGCTGGCCGGCGCTGCCGCCGCCGCAAACCACCGGCCGCAGCAGGGCTACAACCGCCCCGCGCTTGTCCGCCTCACCTACGAATACACGATTTCCGATCAATCCAAAAGCCTCTTTCTGACGAGCTTTTTCGAATCTCTGGCCCTCCCACTCACCGGCAATGTCACGGATGCCGACGTCGACTTTGGGAACACGGAGGTGGCGGCGGGCCTCGGCACTTCGGTGGATGCTTTCGCAGAGTACCTGATGAACAACTTCTTTTCGCCGCTTAAGGCTGCTTCCAACAAGACGCCCCAGCCGTCCCCTATAACCCACTCCGCCATTCAGAGGGCACAGGGCTCCTCTTTGCCCCAATCCTTCGTCGGCACGCCAGACCGTGTCTCGGCTCTGCGTGGACTCTGTCTCGTCCGCGATCGCCACCGCTGCGTAATTTCACGGAAATTCGACATCACGGAAGCCCGTAAACGCTTTAAAGCGGCAAATGGCGGCGCTGTTCTGGACGATGATGGCCTCTCGCTCAGTCCGCATGACTTTGGCCCTTTGGAGGTTGCTCACATCCTCCCGCACTCACTGGCCAAAAGTTCTTCAGACTCCCTTTTGGATCCCGCTAGAAAAGCGGCCCTGGATGTTTTGAACATGTTTGATGCGGGGGTTGTGCGCCTGATTGAGGGCGCCGAAATCGACCGGCCCTACAACGCCATCAGCTTGTCTCACCATCACCACTTGGAATTCGGCTCCTTCCGGATCTTCTTCGAGCCTGTTCTTGATAACCAGCCCCCGCATACGTATCGCATCAATGGGTTCGATCCATTCTTCGATCAATCTCTGGGTTTACCCGTCACGCGGACCCTCTACCTCACCCAAGACAAGACCATCGACCCGCCCTCGTCTCGTCTACTCGCCATTCATCGCGCGATCGCGCACATCCTGCACCTTTCGGGGGCGGGGGATTACATTGACCGGGTTCTTCGCGATGCCGAAGAAAACGGAGTGCGTTCCGACGGATCGACCGCGCTCGGGCTCCTTGTCAGCGCCAGGTTGAGCCTGGGGCGGGTCGCTGGCATCGGTGCGGGGGCTTAGCAGGCCAGCTCACCTGACCCAGAGGCCTGACGGAGATACGCCGCGAACGACAGGCGGGAAGAGGGGTTCTCGGCACACTAAACCCTTTCCGCCCCAGCGGTGATGGGCAGGCTCTTGACGCTCCTGGTCCAGCAACAAACAAGCAGCAACACACCACTGGCACCCCAAAAGTCGGAAGGCCGAGGCTTTTGACGAAAGATCCGAGACGGCGGCGGAACCCGCGATAAAAACATCACGCCTCGCTGTTGGTGTCCCGCTGCACCGTGGACAACAGGACAATGGCAGGGGTAAATATCCTTAACGTGGGCTTATTGGACGCCTCTTTCGAATCGGCGTGGCCTAAGCAGGGGGGTGAGTTTCCGGCCTCCCGTTTGCGAGGTGGGGTGGCGGGTCGGCTAGAACGCTTTTGGAGGCGTAACTGTTGCTTCATTCTTCCGATGGCCAGTGGAGTTTGCGATTGAGGGACTTGCGAGGCGAGGCGAATGTATCTCTCGGCTTTTGTGACCCTACTGTGTTACGTTTTGGACCTTGCAACCAGGACATGGGGGGTGTTTGTCGACGTGGGCCAGGGGCGGTCCACAGACGCTTGACGCGGAGATACCAACACGGCCGGAAGGTTGCAGGCCGGCTGCAGGGCGCGGTGCTGAGGCACATACATGCCTGACACCCCAGGCTGGCCGGGCTCGACGGCGCATGTACCGGGATAAGCCCGGTAAGTTGAAGGCGGAAGTGAAGCAGGTGGATGTGACCGAGGTGGTATGGGGCGGGATGAACAAGGAGATCAACCGGACTGATAGCTATAAAAAGCCGAAGTACGTACCAGGACACGCCAACCACCCAACACTGGCAGACAGGCGCACTAGCTCAGCACGCCGCGGACACTCACTTGCTTACGCTTTGGAAGCCCGGCGGATATCCAGCTTTCGGGCGGTTCCTTGTCCAAGGGTAGAGACAAGAGACCGGCTGTTGTGGAGTGGCGCGTCTTGCAGGCGGCTGCTCCGCTCTAGACCAGGAGGGTCATGTGACCGGTTGGACTGCGAGCAGAAAACTCTGCAACGCTCCGTTGCTTTCCGACACTACTTTTAGATAGTCACTTTTCATGTGTTAACTATTGCAGATTGTCTCTTTGTTTTTCGTGATTCCGCAACAGCAGTACCGAGTGTCATACAGGGATCCCCCTCGGGGACCACGTTGGCAAATAGGACTATAGAGATGTATGACCGCCATATGCATGGGGGCCTAACGGTCAAGGCCATCACAGGAATGCCCATATAGCGGCCGCCCTTTCTTTTTCGAAGTGTAGGTTTGGGGTTCAAACAAAAGAAAAGAAGCCGTATAGGATAAAGAGAGTAATTTTTTTTAAAAAAAAAGATATTAAGGAAAAGAATTTCGGTTTAAGGAAATCAAACACAATAGATCGAACGAAGGCAAAAGGGAAGCGGAAGGGACGTGCAACCCGAAGATTTAGCACATCCTCTCACCAAACTCCAACTCACGGCCACCGTTGTCGTCGCTTTGGTAAACGGCGCCGCTGTCGTCGCTATAGACAATGGCGACCGGAGATGACGTGGAGGAAGACGCCGTGACCGGGATACCGCTGTAGGTGTGCGAATGCTTCGGCATTTCGTAGCGGTAAATAATGCCGTTGTACGGGTATCGGATGCTGCCCGAAAGTGCGCTGCCGAAGGACACCGGGGGGTAGGCGAGGCCTTACTGAGGTCGCTGGTGGTGATGTGTCGGAATAGGGTTCGATGGGTGGTAAGAGGAAATATCTTGATGGTCCGGGTGGCGCGGCTGGTGCTGCTGCTGTTGGTGGTGATGGTGCTGCTGGGCATGGCCACCGTAGTGGTGCTGTAGGGGCGGGCCGGCAGTGCAAGGGCTCAATGTCAAGCTCGCTTCGGATTTGGTTGGGGAGTAGGAGTGCACCGACGATAACATCGAGGATGAGCGGTCGGAGCGGCCCAGGCGATAGCCCGGAGGTTGGATGCCTCGGCCCTTAATCCCCTTATTCGAGTTCTTGTAGAGAAGGGCCAGATATATCACGAGCTCTTTGTCCTTCGGCGACATGTTCTCCAGCGAGATCTTCTCCAGTTTCGCCATAGTTTGGTCCATGAACTGTTGGTGTGATTTGTTTTGGTGGCTCTGATCGCAGTGGTTGTGTCGGTCGTGGTCAGCTCCGCCTACCCCCTGCCCCTTTTCCAGAACGTCTTGGACAAAACTCACCTTGAGGTTCCCACGTTGGGTGAACTTCTTGCCGCAGCCCTCCAGTTTGCAAATGAAATCTTTTGTCTTTTGGTGAACCTTTTTGTATGCCTGCCGGTTACCGCCCTGGTCGAAGCGCCTGCCGCAAATATCGCAGACAGGGCCTTTCTCCAGTGTGCTTGCGCTCGTGAGTCTGCCAAGGTTTTTTTTATCAGTAAGCTGTCCCGGCCCAGTATCTCCCCCTTTTTCGGCACCAAAAAGCAAAAGATATCGAGGGTTAAAGGTTAATACGTACATAAAGGTTACCAGACTGGCTAAAGCGTTTGTCGCAGTTGGGGAACTCGCAGACCTAGAAGGAACATCCTGTTAGCTATCGGCAAAAGCCATCGATATGTTGGCTACGGGTACAGAGGCAGTATGCTTACATATGGTCTTTCGCCCGTGTGGGATCGGACATGGGTGTCAAGCTGTGCCTTCTGTGCGAACTTCTTCAGGCACCCGCGGAAGTGGCAGGCAAATCTCCGCACAGTTAGCTTCTCGCTGGCAGGCTTCTGCTCATTAGTAGGCGAAACGGCCTAGAACGGAAGTGTTAGTCGAGATTTTAAGGTAGCACCGGCATCCCGTCTGAATGGCCCTCGGAACATGCCTTTTCAGGTTCTTCGGCGTGAGCTGGCTCCGGCTTCACAACCGCCTTTAGTGACTCGACGAGGGTCCCGGTCTCGGGCATGGACTGGATGATTTTCATGAGCTTATCGACCCAGGTGTTGAACTCGACATGGTTGCCGACGTGGCTCGCGCCTACGACTGGGGCGTTGGCCACAATCGTCTTTGGGACCCTGCGAGTGGCCCTCTCCGGTGTTGTGCGCCCCCGATACCCGGCTTTTGTAGTTTCCACGGTGGTGTCCCTGAAGCTCCTCGTGTTTACGAGCTTCCTCCTAGGTCGCTGGATGGAGTGATCGGGGAACTGCATCTGGTGTTGCTGGTGGTGATGCTGGCTGTGGTGCTGATGCTGATGGCTGTGTTGCGACCCTACCGTCGGTATCTGGAGAGGAGCCACTGACGGGAGGCCATGGGTGTAAGGGGCGTATGAAACCGGCTGCTGTAAATTAGGCGAGGGCGCCAGGGTTACGGGATACTAAGACGACAGCGTCGGTTGTTGGAGAGGAGCCTACGTGCCCATCATGGGCGAGCCCATGTGAACATAGCCGGATTCCACTTCGCTCTGCTGCCACTGGCCCCAGCCGGGAAGCGTTGGGAGCTGCATTTTTCTGAAGGACTCTTTCAAAACGACGCTCCCCTCGCCTGATGGCGCCGTCAGCGCCCACCCGTTCCACGGGGGCGAGGATGCCGCGCAAGAACGGCTTGGCTATGTGCTAAGCTCGGGAATTATATCAAAGTATAAGAAGACTCGCAACGGGCTGGTAAGGGCCGACTTTAGCACCAAGCTGTCGGCGTACCTGGCTTAGGGCTGTATTACGGCGCGGCAGGTCCACGAGGCTCTCGTGGGCCTCGAGGATGGGACCAACCCCAAGCTTAAGGGCGTCGAGGGCTTCGGCAAAAGAAAAACGGACGACATTAAGGCCGTAAGAGAGGAGCTTATGTGGAGGGACTACATGCGTCTTTACGCCAAGGAGATCGAGGCCAAGCTGTTTTCTGTGCACGATTACCCGAGCGGCAGCCGCGGAGATGCCAGCGCCGCATCGGTAGAAGACCAGCCGCCTACGGCCGGAAATGCTGCCACCGCCACCGCCACCAACGCCACCAACGCCACCAACGCCAACAGCGCCTACCATACGGTATGGAAGACGGCAGACCCAGAAGCTGCTACTTCCACCCCGGAGCAGGTGCGGGAGACGGCGGCCCTCAGAAAGAGCCAGAGCACCATTAAATGCTACAATTGTGGGATAATTTCCACCCTTTGTGGTGGAGGGACGAAAGCGGTCATACGGTTTGCGATGCATGTGGTACGTATTTGGATCTAGCTTGGGGATGGAACGCGAAAACATTCCTGACTGACCGTCCTTTTCTTGCCCAGGATTATACTGGAGGCTTAAGAGTGCCCTTAGACCTGTTGAGATGAATAAACCTATGGCTAAGCGGAAGCGGAAGCGGACAATATGCCCCGTATACCGCAAACCGATCGAGAAGAGGCAGCAAATGGCGTCGACACCGACAGTAACAACGGCAGATCAAGTAACTCGGCCTGCAGCATCTCCATGTCGCGCGCCCTCCGCGTGCTCCGTAGCGTGCGTCGCTCCAGGAGTTGACCGCCGTCATAAGCCGCCTTGACCGAGGTGTGTCTCATAGCGCGATGCCAGGGCGGCGGGGGTGCTGGGTACCGCCTACCGGAACACGGGTCGTTGGTGTCACACGGAGAGGCCGGTCTCGGCCTCAGGCATCAGCAAGGCCGCAACGGGACGGCCCAACAGCCGGGGTCCGGCCGGCAGACCAATCGCCGGAATCTGGAAAGCCCGAAGGAAGCGGGGTTGCAGGAAGGAAGCCTCAGGCACGAACTCCCCAACCTGCCGATATAAACCCCTGGCCATCCCAGGATATCCTTAAGGGATTATGATCATTAAGCATCTCTTGAGGTCATAAAAGATTATTAGCTTCAATAAAGAGATCACCCCGCCAAGCCTGCATTGCACCCTTGTGACAGTTGGGCCCCCAAAATCGGCTAAGTCCGACCTCGAGTTGCATCGATCGATAAATGCCTCCAAGCATCGGTTAGTCAGCACGTCAGCCTGGGCTGACGTGCTGACTAATTACACAACCAATAGGAATGAGTCATTCTGCGCCAGCCTCTCTGAGCTGAAGCAGCTCCACTTGTTGCTGCAGGGTTAATTTCACCAGTTCTGTTTCAGCGGCATCTTCCCAAGCCCTTCTGGGGTACGCCTTGCCTCCCCGCAAAGCTGCCAGAAACTCGTCCGCCACCTTTGCCAATTGTGAACCAATACCCCTCGCTGACTGCTCCTTTAACTGTTCCATCTCGTTTTGCCCAACCCTTTGGTAATCCCGAAGTGCTATACCGTCGTCCAGTTGTCCATCGAAGGGAAGCATGGCCATAAATGCTCCCAAATTTTCTAATTTCCCTGCTTTTGAAAGGCGATTTTTAAACGCACCATATGATAAGGTAGCAACTTTTGCATGCGCTCTTTTAAGCACATCTTCAAAGTTGCGCTTTCTATTCGCCTTTTCCTTTTCAAGGTTAATAAGCTTATTAGCTAAAGCCCATGCTATCCATGACCTTAAGCCACAGTAGCCAGCTAACTGCTTAGCCTGAATTGCAATTTTGCAATATGCAATTGCTGCGCAAACTTTATTTTCTTCCTTGACCTTTAACTTTGGAAGCCGTCCATTTTCCCTCGAAGCTCTGATGTGACCCCTTAACCGTGCGATAGCGTTTGCGTCGCGTAAATGTTCCGCCATAATGGCTACGGGACGGGGCTTTCGCTTGGATTGTGGCTCGTCGGACAGCGGTTCATTTGAGCTAGCAGCGCGTTTGTTTTTCCGTAACCTTGGTGATTCGACGGTTTCGCCCTGCTGCTCGCCGCACTCGTGCTGCTTTCCGCTTGTGTCTTTTGCCACTTTCGGTGCGTTTTGCCGTGCACTGCGCAGGGTTGCTATGGCCTGGGGAGATGGAGTGTTTTCCTTCTGCTTCGCTGGTGGCTCGTCTTGCAGCCCGTCTTGCCCGTCCTCTGGTTCGTGTGATTCTGGGTTTCTTTGTCTAGTGTGTATTGCTGACCCTCGCTCGCCTGCGGAGCGTTTCCTCTTTTGAGGGCCCCTTGGGGAGCCCATGGAAGCCTTGGCAGGCGCAGGGCGCAAAGTGGCGACTTGCCTTGGGGACCGCCGTAGGGCAGAACTAGCCTCCTCATCAGCAGGGGTAGTCTCTGCCTCGGGGGGGAAGACTAGCTCGCGCGTGATCGGCTCCTGATCTTTGTGGCAGCGTCCATCGCAGGGCTTGTACTCCTCTGGGTAAGTGTACAGCTGATCGGCGTAGTTGACGGCTTCGGCCAGAGAGTCCGCCGCACTGAACCCAGAGTGGTAGGCACCCGGGTAGACGACAACCATCTGCCAAGCCTCCTGCATAAAACCTATCGTCGGGGCGCCTTCGCTTTGCAGGCGCTTGATGCCGTAGTGCAACGCTTGGTGCCGCAGGAATT